TTACACACTAAATACAAGAACTTCCTGGTTACATTTCCCCGAAACGTCTTGATTTCATTCCTGTTCCCCACAAGATGAACCCTTTAGACTTTGATTTTTCCTCTAGCGCCACCCTCAGGATTTTTTTATTTTTAAGTGTTTGTTTTTGTAATCCACACTTTGTCCACAAGAGTCTGTGAAAGAAATGTGGAGAAAATGAAAACAGGGACGAAAGAAAATAAAATGAAAATAATGTTATATATATATATATATATATATATATATATATGTAAGTTTTCTTTTCTGCCGAACATGGTTTTATTGCCGGGAGCAGGTGGTGGTGATGGACGCTTGCCAAGAGCTTCAGCCATGTTTGCATTTACAATACAAGAAGTTATAATACTGGATGCTACAGTGACTCGGTCTAAGCTAGCTGGTTAGCATGCTACCTTAAGAAGAAGAAAAGAAGTGATAGAAATAGAGGCAAAACAAGAAGGTTGCTTTCCCCCGCTCGCAATGTTTCTTCTAGACTGGTAAGTACACAGCTGTTAATGCTAACGGTGGCTATGTAGCAATAGCAAATAGCTCAAACACATAATATATGTAGAATACATGGGGTAGTGCTGCACTTCTGCCCCTTGTGACCGTATGAGTATCACAAAAACATGAACACACACACAAAAAAAATGTTTCCACTTGACTTCAGGGCTTAGTTAAGACTCAACAAATATACAAATCATCAGGATGTTGTTTGTTTATATCGAAGCTGTAATGAGCAGTGCAGCCTGGAGGGGGCGCTGACAGGGCCTCACACTGTAAGGCTTGTCGATGACGGTGCTGGTGGTCGTGATCACGCAGGCGGAGCTGCCACTGTGTGAGTGTTTCTTCACAGCACGGCGAGGTGAGAGGTTTTGTTTACCTGGAGGTGTTGGAGGTCAGCTCGTTAGTGAGAGTCTGACGTCTGCTGCTGTTTCCAGCTCGCCGTGCCTCGTTCTGTTTGTTCTCTTCCTCCCTGCAGTAAAACAGATCTGCTGAACAATTAGCACTGAAAATGTTCATATCTGACTGTGTAGCCTTGTTTTTATTGATATATAACACTAAATCTGTGCTGAATACATTACAGTTCCTGCTGCTGCTTCACAATAAAAGCCTCCTATTGGAAGCCTTTTAATGTGAGGTAGCAGCAGCAGCCAGAGAAAACAGCTCTGATACAGATGAGTAAACAGTTTAATGAAGCTGAAAGATTCAGGTATAAACTACAGAAACTGAAAACAGAGACTTATAGAAACAGACTTTCTCTCAGGTGTGTGAGGGCGCAGTACAAACATGCTCATGGCTCAGTGCGATTAAAGCTGGTTTGAATTGTTCAAACAAGGGAAAAGCAAGAATTTTCTGTGGTAGTGATGAATCTACAGTTTCAGCTCATTGTTTATCTGTCCAGACCACAGACTGTAAATAAAGATGGACGCAGCCTCTGTGACGAATACCCAAACGTTTCTGAAGAGAGCTGTCTTGAAGCTCAGAGTGAGCTGCTCCACCGTTGCCATCTTGGCAGTGCCTGACTCCGCCCCTAACTCCTAGCTAGTTACTGTGTGCTGTGAATGTTTAGAGTCCCTGCAGACTGTGGGATTTATGTACATCACAGCATAGAGCAGTCTCAGCTGGCTGTATATTAAAACCAGCGGCAGCAGCCAGATATATAGTTCCTGTCAGAAGAAACAGAACAGCAGTGGTTGAGGATTAGCAGTTCTCTCACGTTCTGTGTTCCTCTCCCCTTATCGCCTCACTGAGCTCCGATAGCACCGTCCAGCTGCTGCTGCTGCTGCTGCTGCTGCTTCGTCCACACGATCCAATTTCAGAGGGTCAGGAGCTCACTGATTGGCTCAGGGTTCAACATACTGATGACATCGAAAAGCCTCGCCGCCGCCGTCCTGCGCTGTCACTGCAGAATACAGACGCGGTCAGTCGGTCGTCAGCCTCAGCAGAGGTCGCATGTAGCAAACAGTCTCTCGTTGATGTGACGCTTTTCACACACATCGATTTACAGCGAGGTCAGCTGTAATGTCACCTGCTTCACCTGCAACCAGAGCAGCCTGCAGCGAAGATGTTTAATTAAAGGACCATACCGCTGTTTTTATATATGTCCATCAACACTGCTCATCAATGTCTTCATTGGAAAGGATTTTGAACTGGATCTTATTAAACTCTTAACTCTTAACTCTTTTTCCAGTAGTTTTGGCCCAACTCTGTTTTCATACTCTGACCAGTTGGTGGCTGTTTTAGTTGTTTAGAGTTTTCTGTCCAAAGTGAAGACACTTGGATAAAGGTCTTTAATCCTGAACTGTCCACGCTTTTCTCGACATTTAGATCGAAGCTTTAGAGAAAAGGCTTCTTGCATAATTTGTCCCTTTTTTTCCGATCAGGTCTCAGAGCTGTGTACAGCACAGAGATGTTTGTTTAATAATGGATGAGCTTGTTTTCACAGCAGAAGCAGATGCTCAATCCACACACTTTCAGATGAGAGTGCTCCCTCTGACACTGTTGAACATGCAGTTTTAATTGAGGGCCCGAGGCTCTGGGTGGGACTCTTGTTCAGATCTGGCTCTCGGATCTCGGAACGGGAAAACGTAAAACATTTCCTCGGCACGCCTCGACCTGCTGGTTTCCTCAGGGTTCAATTAACATGTTAGCGAGCTGAGAACACGCTAGTGCTAGTCAGTCACTAGCTCTCGGTGCTAGCTGGTTTGCAACTCTCAGCTGGTCACAAATGGGTTAACAAGTCACAGCAGCGTGTCACTGCCCTCTGTTTAACCTCTGCATCACTGATGGGTGTGGTTTAGTGTGGTCAGAAGCGTGCTCTGTTGCACCTGTAACCACTCCCAAGCAGTGATGTCACAGGGTCTCGGAGTATACCTGTTGTGTACTGAGGTCAAACAAGATTTTCAGGGCGTTTTAGGTTCTTAGTTTCAGAATCAGGGCCATTTTCCGGCTTCTAAGGTCATGTACAAGTTTTTTGGACCTGTTCGACCTCCGTTTTGAAGTTGAGTCACATCAGTCCTCAGTCTAAGGCCTAAACAGTCACAGGGGTCCATCCTCCAACAGAGTAAGAGTAAAGAAGTTGAGGATACTTGTTTGACAAAGTGAAACTGTTCTGAATGGTTTTCTTCTGGTTTCATGTCTTTGAACAGATTGTCTTCCGGAAGATCAGCGATGTGAAACGTGAGGAGGAGGAGGCGTTGAAGAGGAAGAACGAGGCTCCTCTGAATCTCCCACCAGACCACCCAGTCCGACGACTCTTCCAGCGTTTCCGACAGCAGAAGGAGGCCCGACTTGCCGCCGAGCGGGTCAGTCCTAGTTCCAGTGATGTGGAAAAAGGTGTGGATCACCTAGAGCAGCCCAAAGGCCCAGAGGTCCTGGCCTCCACCAGTATCGTCATGGTGACCGAGAGCCCCGCCACACCCGCCTCCTCCTCAGCATCCACCGCATCCTCTTCATCCAGGACCTCCAGCCGAGTCATGCTCCACACCCCTGCCATCCAAAACGGAAACCTGACCGGTTGCAAATCTGCAGAGCCACCCAAAGCCAAAGGCTGGGGACGATTCAAGGAGGCGGTCGTGAAGGCCGATTCATGGAGCAGCGTCTCCAAGGCTGAGTCCATGGAGACGCTGCCCGATAGAACTAAGTCTCATGACGAGATGTCCCTCAAGAAAACCGACTCCTGCGACAGCGGCATCACAAAGAGCGACCTCCGATTGGACAATGTCGGCGACGCCAGGACGCCACAGGAGAGGAGTCCAGTTCAGTCTGAGGAGAAGAGGGTCTTCTGTCCAATACCAGAGCAGAGCATGCAAGCCTCTTTCCTCGAGCTGAAACAAGAATTACGAGGAGACATCAGATCTCTGAACAGCCGCATGGCAGCGCTGGAGGGTCAGTTAGCCGAGATGCTTCGACTTCTCAAATCCAGGAAGTCGTCGGGCTCCTTCTTCGAGATCTCCCGGCCGCCCTCCCCCGACTCTGATAAGGACAGCTTCTCGTAAACTGAACATGGAATTAGTCCGTGAGAGTCAAACTTGAACGATTCAGCCTCCGGATGTCAGAGAAGAGCTCCTGACGGCAGTGTGAGGCTGTGCTCATGGTTGTCAATGACGACGTCACACAGAAGACAAAAGCACTTTGGTTCGTTCGTAGCATCACTCTGCTGTTCGAGACGTTACAGACTGAAATGACGTCGAACTAGAACGAGGATAAGTCTTATAAGTTTTGCTTTGATGAGAGATTATAGACAGAGTCAGTCACAATGGCACCTTTGGTCCCCAGGAGGGTTTGTAGCCTGCAGACCTTAACGAGATATCGGCAATAATAACAGAAGGCTTTAAAGTTGTTGTTTTGAACAGGACTTAGACACTGTGATGTGGTGACTTTGATGAAGTCTGGTCCACAAAGTCTGTTTAGCTGCTCAGAGCCTCTCGATACTGAAGGGTCCACTCTCATTGGCTGTCTGCACTCTCAATCAAAAGTTTTATGCACCGCAAAATGTTTTTAATCAAGTCTGCTAGACTGCTCGGATCAAAGAGAGACGTACCAGTGTTCGCAAATGAAAGTCAGGATAGATGTTAATGTTAATGTACGTGAGGATGACGACTACAATCTACTGTAAAAAGCCAATTTGATTTCACAGATTCCCAAACTTTTAAAACTCACTGGGCTCCATGATTTCACTGCTGCACATCATCGTATCAAAGCCACACTATGTGATTGAGCATCAGTCAAAAGACAGCCTTTCAGTCCAAGCAGGAGGCTGCTGAACTGGTTAAAGAACATTGTGGACCAGATCTTTCAGCTGATGGTGGGAAATGGTTTTGCTCGGTGTGACGTGCTAAATGACATTAGCGCCATTTTAGAGAAAAGATGTCACCACCTTCATGCAGACTAAAACACTGTGTGCACGGACTTCAGGGAGAGGTCTTTGATGATTGGAATCAGCAGCGTTTATATGAATGAATGTGAAGGATTTAAAGTGACAGAGTGAAAATGAGGCCGTACATGTTTCTGATGTTGATGTTTCTGCACAGAGCTTTATTTTTAATTTAGTTTTTTATAGATTTGCATGTTTTGAAGTTGATGAGTCTCCAGCTATGGATGGAGAATCATATCTAACACCTCCAAATTCAAACACAATAATAATGTGATTTCTTCAATTTAAAAGAACAGGATGCTTATGATTCTGATGGTTGCCTGAATGCATTTGAATTTGGACTCACGGTACATATACTCCTTTATTCAGGTGTTTTTAAGAAATGGTTAATGTTATTTAAGATTATAAAGTATTTAGTTCCACCAGGTATGAATTTAGGATCTGTATCTGGATATATGACCACAGGCCTTTTACCTGGTATTAAGCAGCATTATCATTGTCTCCATCTTTGGCAGGAAGGGTTGGCGGACTTTTCAGCAAACAGGGCACATCTAGGTTCAAGGGAAGTGATGCCAAATACTCTAAAGGGACGACTGTGTGTATGTAAGTTGAGGGTCATCCATATTAACATGTGTTTTCCCTGATCCAGATCAGATCTTGACACAGATCTCGTTCTAATACCAGGTGGAAACAGGATATCATAGGTACCATATATCTTGGAGTCCTCTATCAGCAAACAAAACCAGTTCGTTGGTTTTAGTTTTTGGTCTGTGTGGTCTGCCTGTTTCATTTCCAGTTGTTTTTGAGTACAACTGCTGGAGCACACGTGGTCGCACCGGATGCTTACACTTTAAACAATAATGTTACTGTCAGGCTCGAACACTGCAGCCTGTCCTCAGACACTAGGCTCAAGGGTTCATTATCTGAAATAAGTGGCTGCAAAACCCAACTGACAATTAGCTTCTTTTTCTCATCCTCCTTTGTTCGTTTTTGTTCAGATTTCACTAACGATTAAAGCTGCATTGACTCATATTTAACCACTAGGGGGCAGAAAGTCTCCAAAAACAAAGAAAGTGTCTTTATGTGTTAGACAGCAGGTCACCAGTGTGTTTTGGTCATTGTAGGTAGGTGTTTGAGGTGCAGCTTGGTCAGTGCCTCCTCTGGGAGAGATGTTGTACCTCTCCTCAGATTATTGCCTCTTTCTTGTGGCTTTGAGTCTCCTTCATCAGTGTCCACTGGTTGAGGACGTTGATTCCTTTCCAGAAGTCGCTGGTTGTGTCTCTGACCCTTCAGAGACGACTTGTAGCAACTAAACCACCGTCAGCGCAAACATGATGAGGAATACGCAAAGGTGAAATGATGAACTGAGGTGTTCTCTGCGTTTTCACCTCTGGACAAACGTCCACAGGATAGCGACAGCAGCGACTGTTGATCCATCGTCTGGTGTCATTTGTTTACCAACCACAACACGTTTGTTGCCCCTGGTTGACAGATTGTGTTGTAATGGAGCAGACGTAATGTCCTGTTGTAGCTGCAGGTCACAACAGCCAATAGACGAGTTGTAAGTGGCTCAGCGCCGATCCCTCCATGTTGTTTTTGGAGTCTACCAGAGGTTCTCGGCTCTTTCTTTGGTTTCAGCTTTGACATCTTCATTGTGCCTCCATTAAAGTTCCAGTGCTCTCCGGCGCAGTAAACTGTAATGATTTTTATATGCAACATTTTCTCCTTGAAACGCCACCGGTTCGACTCATCTCTCAATCCTCTAGCCATCAGATCATCTCGTCCATCGTCTTGATGATTTGCAGATTATATTCTTACAGCCCGTACACAACAGCAAAACTCCAGACAGAAATGGATCCAGTTTACCAACATCAATTTGGTGAACTTTGACTCAGCAAACCGTCTTGAACCATCCAATTTTATGTAAACAAGCTCCTACACTACTCTACAGAGGAGTTGATGATACATATCCATTGAATAAAATGAGTTAACTTCCTGTTTGGCCAAGATTTGGAAACTAAGGTTGTGTCCCAATTCAGGAGCCGCATCCTCCGGAGGCTGCATTTGAAGACCGATGCGTCACAGTGGTGCGACTAGACTGTCGCTTTTCAAATGCTCCTTTAAACGCAGCTGAGAAATGCGTCGTCCATTTCCTGGGCAATGGGTGGATCCAAACAACAGCAACAGAGACGCTGAGGGTCACACTGTTAAATGTCAGTATTGGGTTTCAGCTCAGATCAACAGCTAACGGTACAGCTGTTAAAACAAAAATCCTTCGTAGACCAAACTGTCACATTTCAGTTCGGTCTTCCAGTTCATCTACAACGGCTACGAAGGGCCACACCTGCGTAGACCACGCCGTCCGAAGGAGGCAGCCCCTGAATTTGGACACAGCTTAAGTCACAGCTGTTAGCTTACAAAGTGACATATCGTTAAGTAGTTGTTGTGTTACTCAACATGGGCAGACCGGCACCACTCAGAGACAAGACGAGCAGCAACCATCACATCTGACTGTGAGAGGTGGACACACCTGTTGATGGAGGTAAAAACACCCCCAAACATACTTGAATCTTGAATCTCCTGCTGAACTTTGTATTTTAAAGACAGAGGTTGAAGTTTTCCAGTTCGTTTCAATATGATCAGAGTTTTCCCGGTGCTGCATCTAGTGGATGTTAGAGAAACTGCAGCTGAACGCAGTGAGGCTAGGACGGTACTTTACGTGTCCACGCAGCCGAGAGGGTCCATGTGACGTAAATTTCATTGTTGTGTAGCAACATTCACCATAACAAACACACAGATTAGACAGAATGGCGTCAACATTCATTCTTAACCGGTTTTAGTCAAACCAGATTGATAACAGAAACAAAATCCAATCTTTTAAAATAGAATTTAGTTGAGTATCATCTGCAAACATGATACCAGAGTAAAAGTAAGCTTATCTATGATTACTGACAAACACATTTACAACTGAAAAACTTTAGCAGTGAAAATGTCAAATGTCCCTGACGCTTTGTTCCTGCTAATCAGAGGAAATGTAACCTGACATTTAAAAATGTACTCACCTGACATGTCTAAATGGTAATCTGAGATGTACGTTTGTCTTGACTTTGGTATCTCGTGTATCCTGTGTAGGTGTGATATATAATGTATCGTCATAATATGCAATTATCGCCATGTATGCTGTTTGTACTGAGAGACTGGTTGTTGTTTGTGGCACTTTGTCAACCTCACGCTGTCCCACAAGCACCGCCGGTTATCGACACTGATGCACTTTGGTCGTCCGTCGTCCCTGCATGACGCTGGTGTCTGAAACCTGTTTCTTTTTTCAAAGGAAAGACTGAAACTGAACTGACTTTGCCTTGCTTCTTAAATATCTTTGAGGACTTTGAGGTTTGGTTCTCTCTAAACTTTACTACCTTCTGCGGTCACATGTATGTAACGACCGCTGTCTGTGCATGAAGAGCACCTCAGTGTTAAAACGGTACAAAATCTTTATTAATATCGCGTATGCACTGTTTTGGAGATTCACAACTTGGAGGAAAAAGCTTGAGAGAAACCTTGTAGTAACCACAGATATACATATATTCTTAATTTGTTCTTCACTTACTGTCAGGAATGAAAACTGTATCAGCACAAAGAGTATTTATAAAAAAAAAAATCACATGTCAAAAATAAATTATTTTATACTTTGTACTTGTCGTAGTTTTGTTTGTTTTTGTTTGACTAGTTTCATTTCACTTCTGCTGTGAATGTTGAACTAATTTTGAAGACCATTCATTCTGGTTTTGCAGAAACAGCTCTCGCTCAACACGTGATAAGATGATAAAAACACAAAGCTTTTAAAAAACACAAGTTTAAAACTGTTTTAAAAACATTTACATTTTGTGTAAAAATGTAAATTGGCTGACTGTTTTCTGAGTGATAAATATATAGCAGATTTCAGGTAAAAACACTGAGAGAAACCAAATCCTACAAGGTTTGGATGGTGGGTCCAGGTGGGCGGGGCTTGGTGACTGCTTTGTTGTGACATCACAAAGTTCCAGAAGTCCTGACGGCTGGTTTTAAGGCTCAGTTTCTGAATACAGGCTGTGTGCATTTCTCTGTGGACTGAGGCTTTGATACTTTCACAGTATTAATATAGAAGCTAGAGCTGATCTATAATCACACTACACATGGACACAGACCTTTACACTGGAGGAGCTTTAATGTGTCTATTACAGAGTTTGTCCATAAGACGACACTGACAACTTTATTGTTACAGTGTAAAATATCCCAAACACTACATAACTGGATCTCTATTCTTTAAAAACAAAATTTAAAGGGTCTGCAGGTGTTAAACAACCTTATCAGTTGGACTCTTATTACTCAAATCACAAATCTTGGTTCCACCATGGGGGGGGGGGGGGCAGGGGGTTAGAGACTGGAGTCATGTGTTAACACAGGTCAGACCGAAACCAGCTGAGAACTCAGTGAATTGAATATTTAAATGAATAAATTCCACACAGATAGATGAATAAATGAAATGCCGCTGCAGGATAAGGTGTCCTGTGGAAAACACCTGGGAGTCTGTTATCACGTCAGCCGGTTAATTAATCAGCTCTGTTGCTACGGTTACTTGCAACTTATCATGAGCTCTGATTTGGTCAAAACTATTTTTGATTTGTCAACCTTCCAGCCAATCAGAGACCAGTATTGTGTTTAATTATCATCAGTTTTCTTGGATAAATCTGTGACTCCAACACAATGTTCTTCGGTCAGGACACGTCGCTCTGCGTCGCCTCATCAACAACAACATTCACATGGAGGTTGTTTCTTCTGAAATCTTTCACGTCCTTGATTTTAAATTTAAATGAATCCTTTAAATCAGTTTCTTTACAAACTGTTTCCTGCCTCCTGCCTCGCATCTGTGTCTGTGTTCCTGGGCTGAACTCGTCGCTCGCTTTCTTCTCTCCTTCTGGGATCTTTTTTCAAACCAATCAGGGAATCCCTTGATCCCCCCCACCCCAACCCGCCACACTCCCCACTCCCCTAGAAAAAAAAAAAATCTTTGGCTTTCTGCAGAGCCGGCAGGTCCCCTCCTCGCTCCTCTCCTCCTGTCTCCGCTCCGTCCTCTCCCTTGTTCTCGTTCTCCTCCTCCTCATTTGATGATCTGCATTTGCAGTACCAGCCTTCTTCGCCCCTTTCCCCCCTCCTCCTCTTCCCCAGGTTGATCTCTGCATGAGCGAACGAGAGCGGGGGGTTGCCTCTTCAGCCTAGACTTAACATGCCTCCAAAGCCCCCCCCCTCCCCCTGCATGCCTCTGTCAGCCTGTGTTATTCCTGATGCCACTAGCGCTCCCTACTGAGGAGTTAGCAGACACTACGGCCAGCTGCCTGTTTGTAATGAGGCATCAGTCCGTGACCCTAGTGGTGGAGATGCTGTCTCTTTTACTGCTGATGGCTTCAACTATACTATGAAGCTGGAGTTGACATTTCTTTTTACCTTTTACTCACATCATCGTATTTTTATTTTGTGGTATCTACTTTATTACTTAGTATTAAAAAACAGATATACTTCCTCCATTAGTGTTCTGTCATGACTTTCACCCTGATCTCCAGCTCTCAAGCTTTTACTTCGGTGAGCAAAATTATCTGGTGTTTCAATACTTTTTCCACACGTTGTAATAACTTTGAATTAACGCTTTAACATTAACACTGAGTTTTTCCTCCTTTTATCTGGCGTCATCCTCCGTGTAGGGTGAAGTTTCAAGCCAAAACTCCAAAAACATCACTTTCAGCGACAGATGTGGTCGGACTCCTGAGTCAGAACTCACCACTCAGGCGTGGAGGGGGGGGTGAATTGAGGACGGACAGGTAAAATTAAATTTAAAATTAAAAAAGTTTCTATAAAGCTTTTTAATGTGTCTAAAGGAAACATGGTTGACATTGAGCAGGGACAGAGTGATGTTAATTAGTTTGTATTGGCATCAGGCTTATGGCTGGTAATTGGTCCATTAACCACGAATGAGGAGCAGTACATGCTTCGTTGTGACATCAAAAGTTCGAATACATGGCTGTGTGCATTTCTCTGTGGACTGAGGCCTTTGATACTTTCACAGTATTAATATACGAAGCGAGCTGATTCTGATAATCAGACTCACAACATCGGACACAGACCTTTACACTGGAGGAGCTGTTTAATAACTTGCCCACTCTGGCAGTCATAATCATAAAATAAATATAAAATATCAGGAAACTGAAAACCAGACTCGTCCAGTCAAACTCAAAACTTTATATAGAGCTTAAACATAGAGAAAATGTCCTTGTCCAGGATAATAATTGGAATTTATGCATCAGTAGGATCCTGATTTAAAATATATAATAATTATGGCTCAACATATTTTGAATTATTGCTCGCCTTCACGTTCCTCCCCGCTGACCCGTCCTGCTGAATGCTCTAGTGGATTCAGACTGAGTCACATTCTGAACTGAGCAGAAGTGGATGGGAAACAGTGGATTAGTTATTTTAATGGAACACAAGTGTTTAACAGAAGGGAACATGTGCGGAGAGTGTCGGACAGGATGTTGCGCTGTTTGGACTCTTCCTTCGCTCCGCGTATAACCCCCACCACCACAACCACCACCACCACCTTTTTATACCGTCACTGCCGGGGCGTCATGGCACAGGTGAAGTCTGCTTCCTGATTGGTGTGTGTCCCAGGTCACCCGTTGCCAGTTTGCAGTCAGAAGTGGCTGAGTGGACCCTCCTATTTTAAAGCCCCCGCCCCCCTCCCAGCCTTCCGACCCTCCCAGTTCATGGCGCTTCCTATAATTTATGTTCAGGATTTGTTTTTTTGCATCCTGGCTGAACCTCTAGTGTGGGAGGAAATAAACTGCAGCAGGGATCTATATGTGCCTCTGCTAGGGACGTCCGGGCATAGCCTAACAAATGTGTGGGTTATCTGGTAAAGTAGACTGTTTTCTGTTGTGTGTCCGCTTGTGCAGAGGGTAGGGAGCGGTAAGGTAAGAGTTATCTGAATCTACAGTTGTGTGCTAAGGTGAGGAAGGGAGGTTGATGGAGAGCTTGATGTGATAACATCCTCGGGACTTTCTCCATGTTTCCACTTCTAAAAGGTTTTAAAACTCGATGTAATTTCACAGCCTCTACAGTGAGAACTGTGTGTGACTCCTGATGATCACAGGCAAGTGTTTTGGTTTGTCGGTGGTCCTGTAAAGTTTGTAAAAAAGTCTGCTTTTTTTTTTTTCTTTTCTTTTGTTAAAAGTTTGCTTCCGCTGCTACTGAAAAACTATATCTTAAGTAGTTACTCTATTCTCTGGACACGTGTTAGTTTTGTTGAAACAATAAACTTCTCACACTGGATTTACTCAAGTTTTGGATGAATGGTTCTTTCATGCTGGAACGGACATGAAGGGAGCGTTTGTGAGTTGGCTTGATGATGATCTGCAGTCTTGTTTGTTAGGTGACTCAGATATTAAAGTTAGTGAGCTCCTCTTTGCTAGCTGCTACAGGCCGAGACGGACGAGGAGAATGTCAAAGTTACCTTGGTTCCTCTGACTTAAGGACGTCGGACAAACCGGTCAGTAACTAAAAACAACAAAGATGTCTTTGCTTGTGGAATGAGGAGGAGGAGGAGGAAGGGTCTTGGCTATGGGTAAGCGGGGGGAAAAAAAATTGTAAACCTTGACAAGACAAGAACAGTAGGGGAGAGGAGCTACAAGCAGGATGGTGTGGATTTTCTGATGAGGATTTACTGAGCTTAAGAGCTGCAAGAAAGGTAAGGTACTGAACGCTGTTTTATCTAGATGGATCTACAGAGGAGGAAGATTTCTAGAAGGGAAAAACTACTAAAGGAAAAAGAACGAAGAGAAAAAGTCAGAAAAGAACAGAACCAAAGAAAATTTAAACAAGAGAAAACAAGAGAGATAAGTCCAACAAGACGAGAAAAGAAGACAAAAAAGAGAAAACCAAAGAGTTGAAAGGTAAAGACGAGGGTATGCAAGAGAAACAATGTTTGGATCCTGAATTTCCGTCGAGCCTGAAGTAGGATTTTGAAGCTGTGATCGCACATGAAAGGAGAAGAAATCATCTCATATAAAAGTCAAGAATGCCTCCGTCCTCCTCCTCCTCCTCCCTCAGAGGACCTCCAGGAAGCAACTTGAGGACGAGGAAGAAGAAGCTAAACCATGAGCTAATTCACATGAGATTAATGTAAGAGGAATGAGGGGCTAAAGAGGGGGGCGAGGGGGGGGGGGTGCGGGGGGGGAACACAGGGTCAGCTACACAAACCAATGTTACCCCTCGCTACATTTAACGTAAGCCCCGGCAGGCGACAACAATGGCGATCACAGCACGGCCCCTTGCCACGTTCTAAACGTTGCTAGATTTCTCTCTGGCTGGTCTCAAGTGTGCTCGAACAGCCACAAAGTCAAAACTAATGGAGAGTTTTCTGGTTTTCCCATCGCAGCTCAGCAGGTCACAAACTCATATAAAAACACAAAGGTTTGAGCGCCGGGGCTTTCATGCCACGCATTAAAAAAAAAAAAAGCTGCGGTTCAATTCCTAAAGAATGTGAGGCCGGGCGTCTTGAAGGAGGCCTCAAAACAAACCTCTGCCATGGGCTTCGGGAGGAGTGTTACTGGTTGAGTACTGGTCTCTCCT